AAATCATACCTTACATTCTTGCAAAACAGTATACCTAAACTGTTTGAGGATGTATCACATGAAAATTAGTTGTGGTTCATGCACGATTGCGCTCCTCCACACTTTAGCTGGATTGGAGGAAGCGGACCAGAACCCTGGCCAAGCGGCTGTCCAGATATAAATCCTATAGATTTTTATGTGTGCGTTTATCTGAAGTCGATTGTCTATACAACATCGTGTTTAAATATTGATGACGTAAGACAATGAATAATTAGAATTATCCCAGGGATAATTGATCGGGTTAGGTGATCCATGGATCAAATTCGAAGATGTTGAAATAGGAGGAGGCCATTTCGAACATATTTTATGAATACGTTTAAACTGAAATTCAGTATGGTATCTTTGTATAAAAAAATAGTATCAATTTTTTTTTAAAATGATGCATCTTACCATGTAATACAAGGTCAAAAATAATACGACTAATAAGGACAGTTCAGTGACGCTAATTTGTCGACAGAGGAGACGTGGCTATGATGAAGTAGACAACAGATCAGAATCAAGATATCTTCATTGTAAAGGCTACCCAAACAATATTTCGCCGACTACCTACTACTTTTTACTAATTTCAACGTCAGAATTATTACAAATAGAAGTCAAGTAGCGCCTTAAATTTTAAAGTTACAATACAACGTCGGAGCAACGTTGCTTGAACCTGGCAAACGTACTATTTACGTCTAGCACATTTACCAACGTTGGTTTGACGTTAGAAATCTACTTAATACCTTGGGTGTGTTTTCAGATAATTATCCAACGTTGATTAGACTTTGGTAACTGACGAAGTAGGTTTAGGTAATTTTTGGGTAACCTTCCAACGCTGTATAGACGTTGTCGACTGACGTAATAGACAATGTTAACTATGGAGTCGTCCGGTAATGTCGGCTGAACGTTGGTGTGAGACTTTTGAGTCTCGGCTTAACATAACCCAAAATTACTGTCGGTAATGCAGATATTGATAGATATTTATTAAAGATTTATACACCAACTGCTGCAAGGTCGGTATTAGAGAGATTGTTTGGAGTGAATGTTAGTTTTAGTGCATATTTCTGCACCTGAGCCTACTAAAAGCTGATACCGGTAAAATTATTTTACCTTGCTGTCGCTGTTAGTAAAAATAATTATTGTACTTATCATAATGGTAGTTACTAAATAATGACAGGGAAAAAATGTTAAATTATAGTGTCGTGCGGCTGCCGAGAAGTTGGCCGCAATAATTTAATAATTTATTACTCGGCTATAATGCAGTTACAAATTCTAATTTATGGGTTACAAATAGTTACACATTAGTTACCAAATGATGGTCAGGTGTAAACTAAAAACATTAAAAGTTGTGCGGCTCCCGGAAATTTTACACCAAAAATATATTTTTTTAATATCTACTAACGGGGCGAGTTACAAATTTCGGTATATAAGTTACACACAGTTACATATAAGGTACTAAATGATGTATGGACAAAACATAAAAAAACTCATTTGAGGCGGCCAACTTCACGGACCCGCACACCACGCTCGGATAGGAAAACCAACAAATGGTGTTATGGGAATGTTCTGTAGTCATATTATTCTTGCTACAACTAACTTTTTATTAATATTATTTCAGAGTTTTCCAAAATAACACACCCCTATACCCTTATCTCTCCACCCCCATAAATGATATAGAATAAATGGTATGAAAAATTATTAAATCGTTACCCCCAATCAATTATACCAAATATTGTGGAAATTCAAAAATCAGGTTTTATTTTTAATAAAATAATGTTCATTTTTTAATAGCTCATCATCGCCCTGTATCTGAGAAACGAGGCATTATTCCTTACAGGAACGTTTTGACTTATGCTGCTGAATTTATGCCGTGCATTTTTGGGACGCCCTGTACAAACTAGTTCCACTGAACACCTTCAATTATTAATCATAACATAAGGCAGCTCACACTTTGATTACAACGTATTAAACATACTTTACAGTACAAACAGAATCATACATTTTCCAGCAACAATGCGTTGATTTATAATCTTGATTACTTTTGTTTCGTTATTTAATTTTTATTGTTATTATCGAATTTATGAATTCATAACATCTAAAACATCATAAATTATAATGGTACATAAAATCCAGGGTTTAGTCAGGTATTTCATATAACGTTTTTGTTCTTTTCGCCATTTTTGTGTTTATATTCGTATATAAACTTTTCTATACCCGTAAACGCGTAAAATGTACGAATTAACAAATCCTGAAATGAAATTCATTTAAAATGTTACATTTATTCTGTATTTCAATGCAATATCAGCGGCCAGTCAAAAAGTCTGCCATTGAATTGAAAAATGTTTTGGTGTAAAATAAATCATTTTAATGGTATTTAGGAAAAGGATACATTATTTAGACCACAAAATTCTCTAAATATAAATGTATTTATTTGGTTAATACATCATATTGACGATTTAAAAAGTTTGTACTAACTGTGACGGTATTCAGTATACAGAAACTAACGAGGCGTTTTATTTTAAGGTTGATTTATTGATTTTACGGCAATTTGTTTTGATTAATGGAAGAATTTGCTGTCACCGAAGGTTTTCCATTTAAAATTTTAACAAAACTAACAACTCTATTTTAATTTCCTTCATACCGGTGTTATTATTCACCTGAATTTTAATAAAATGTAACATGTATTGGTAATTATTTAGTATACGATAAGTTGCTTAAATTTTCCTGAAAATTTGTCTACCCCCCCCCAAATAAGGTACGCTGAACACGAATATGAAGTTTTTTTTCGGCGGAGACAAGCCGTTATGGAGAAATAAAATAAAAAAAGTTTGCACTTTCACAGACATCCGTCATTTTTTACACTGGATATATCTAACGATTTGCATTATTTCCCTCACCCCAATAACACTCTGAACGGTTTGGAGTATAGTATACGTCTTTGTTTATAATAAGCGCAATTTTTTTCCTTAGAAAAACAGCTTTGTATTTGGGATAACGCCATTACATGATAAAAATGCAACTAAAATGTATGTGAAATTAGCGTCGCGTTTCAGATAGTGTCTAAAGTGCCTCGCAAACAATTTCCCAATATATTTAACAGTTTCTTAATGACAGGCGATCGGGCGACAAGGTAAAATTTCTTTCATTAGCTTTTATTTATTTATTTATTGCAATTTTTATTTATTTATTGAATTCTTATTTTCGGTGATTTTCAGAACACGCCCCTGTGAGATACCACAAAACCAATTATACCGACACACTCTACACATCATCAAATGTTCATTTCACATTGTCATATCCTGTGCAAACATCCCTAAGTACCCTTAAATAAGTTAATAAGATTGCATTCTTTAATAACATTAAGAATTATTCCTTGCCCTATAAATTTTGGGTGGAAACGGGTAAGTTTTAAATAGGGTGCTTTTTACATAGGATTATGGTTATAATAAAAGGGGTTGGTTTAGCGAATAATTTTAATATGACGAAAGGATGGTTTCATTATAAGAGGTTATTGTAACCATAATCCAATGTATTAGGCACCCCACCCTATTTAAAACTTACTTTTTCACCCAAAATTTATAGGGCAAGAAATAATTCTTAATGTTATTGAAAAATGCAATCTTATTAATTTATTTAAGGGTAGTTAGGGATGTTTGTACAAGATATGAGAATGTGCAATGAGCATCTGATGATGTGTAGATTTGTGCAATAATACAACCTAACCTAACCTAATACCTGTTCTTCTCCTTTGCTGGCAAAGATAATTGCTCATACCTTCTCGTTGGTCCTTGCTGAACAATAACATATTTAAAGATATAATCCATTTCGTTAATTACGTTATCGACTAAATGAGCAACTTACCCTAAAAATGATCCGATCTGGTTCTAAATTGAACGCTAGTTATACAATGTCGTATCTTTAGACACAACAGAATTGAATCGCACCTAAGTTCTTCGTGACTATGAATGATTTGTCACGGTACAGCATTTTCCATGCATTTTCATATTTAAAACATGGTTTTTAATGTGTAAAACATTATATTTCTGTACAAGATAAAAGTAACATCGTTTTCTAAGCATTAAAATAGTAAAATTAGTAACAGGAAGTGTTAAATATATCAGAACAAAAAGTGACAGATGTGTGAAAACGCAAATTTTTTTTTTTTTTTTTCTCATTAACGGCTTCTCTCCGGTGAAAAAAAAGTACATATTCGTTTTCAGCGTACCTTAATTTTGGGGGCAGAAAAATTTTCAGGAAAATTTAAGCATCTTATCGTATACTAAATAATTACCCATTTATTTTATCTGGAAGAACTTCACGCCTCAATATTTAGCGGGAGAGAATTAAGAGTTTTGTCTTCAAGGCATATAATCACTGTGTCGGTAAATTATGATAAAATTACTGTACAGGAAGGTGGACCTTACCACCCAGCTGGCGTTTCGACTATTGGTCAATGTTACGTGCTATTAGCTCTAAGTTTAATTCAGGGTCGGATTCGAGTTTATGGTGATTTATTGTGAATTCGCCAATATCGTGAGAGCATTATTATTTATTATGTATACATACTATTTTGTGAATTAATCAAAAATGAGAACATGAATTATAAATGAGAAAAGAAAAGGCCTAGACTGAAAACAAGTGTTTCTAAAAAATGGGTTTTGCAGTGATGAATAATAAACATCGTAAATTATGACAAACATTTTCTACCCGGATTCGATGTGTCATTTTACAAATAATGATTAAGAACAGCAGTCGAGCTAATTCGATTTAATGTTTGTAATTAGGGCTTGTACCACGTGACAAACATTACAAGGCACAGATAAGCGCGAGGCGCCAAAATTTATTGCACTGTAATTCACAAAACACTGAACTACAATATACAAAAATTTTCTGAATGTTACTTTTTGCAATAGTGTACCGTTGTAAACACTAATACAAACGTTATGCGAATGACTGTCGCCATTCTAAGCAACCTTAGCTTTTGAGCGCTCCTCGTCTGTGGATCGAACCTGAGACTCCAGGGTGAGAGGCAAGTGTCCTTACCACTGGGCCACGAAACCACATTTATCACAGTTATCTTGGGAGACTCTTTTTAGAACATTAACTTACAATCAAATAAATAATTATCCAGAAAACTGTTTTAAAAAATATGAACGGTTAATAACTAAATAAAACAATATTTCCATTATCTGTCGCGCTTGATAACTCAGTTAATATTTGATATTTTCGAAATCTTTTTCCTGAAAGTGTTTACATTTTTTGTAATATATAATTTTACCAAAATTTAAATATCTTGAAAAATAATTGAATAAGCATGAAGTCACGTTTTTGACAACTCCGAAATTTTTAAATTAGAAATTATAAGAAAAGTCAGTGTATGAAAATGCTGTATTTTATCGATAACTAACATTTTATTTAGGTAGGTTGCTCATTTTCTGAGACATAACGGATTAAAAACTGGTATGATCAAAATGTTCTTAAAAAGTGGGACATTTTTAATTTAGCAAATCCTCTAAATTAGTCAACGTAAGTCATTCAATGAGGTGTTCAGTCTACTTTTATTTATAGAATTTCATAATAAATTTATACTTATGATAAGAATAAACTTTATTTTTTTTTTGCCCAAGCGCAATCTGGAATGTCCTCCCGTGGTGTCCGATATCACACAAGAGGAACACCACTGAATTACCTACCGACACTTCTCACATCCCGCAGGGTTAATGACTGTAGATTTTGGAATCGTGTGCCCTAAATAGACAAAGGACAATTATTTTTAGTTTTTTTTTTTATAAAAATAAGTACAATAAAAAATCTATAACACTAGTATGATGTTAATTTTTAATAAATGAGTATATTTTCCTGTCACTGAGAACAGTATAATCACAAAGGTACAGGGTAAGGCATATGAAATATGCCCCTCTCCATTTTATTGTTAATTCTAAAAATATTTTATAACTGTATTATGCCATCTTATGATAGAATTTGGTAAGTGTATTTTAAATTTTAACTCAAATATAAAATTCAACTAAAAATGCACAGGTCAATCAAATATGCTTTTCGAAAATGACACACTTTATATATTTTTTGATAAATTGACAGAGCTCGTTGAGGTAATTCCAAAGATATGTGACTGTAATGCTTCAAAAATAAGGCAGATAGCTAGTTAAAAAATAATTAGCAAATTTTATAATAATTCGAGCGAGATTACTATCATTTAGTTTCTCAAATAACAGTTTCTATAGAGAATAATAAAATTACAAATAAAATGAAAATAAAATTAAATAAAAAAAAATAAAGGTAATACATAATTATAAAATTTAATGATTCTTTATTAGTACTATCTTTATTTATGAAATATATTAGAGCTACATATTTCTGAAATCGCCTCAATGGACTTTGGTCAAATTATCGAAAAATATACAGTGTAAAATTTAAAGAAAACATATTTTTGATCAACCTGTATATGTTTGCTTAAATTATAAATTTGGGCTTAGAATTAAAATCTACGAAAAAATTTCACAAGAACCACTGGAAAATATTTTTAGAATTAATGACAAAAATGAGAAGAACATTTTATGTGACTTACACTGTACCTACAGAATAAAATATATTAAATTATGTTTACGATGACGTTTTCCTTCTTTTTATTGAATATTGCTGCATTAAGTACTCCTAGTGCGAATGACATCAATTAATTCACTTACCATATGAATATTGTTCTTACTAGAATACTCGATAGTAATATAAATTACACTGAATACACGTAGAGTTGACCGCACGACTATACTGTAGAGGGTGCTTGCTCCTCCTACCAAAATCGGAAAAAGAGCCAGGCAATTGAAAATATTAGAGTTGAAATAATTTAAAAAAAAATTTTTTTGCTGGTGTCTGTAATTATAGTCTGTCACTGAGTTTTTAGTTTTTCAATTTTCATATTTTGAAATTTTGAAAAATGGTATAAAAAAATCCAAATTTTTTTAAAAAATCCCACACAGTGACACAGATTGAACTTTTATTTATATGTCCTTCAAATTTCATATTCATATCTTCTCTAATAACGTCAGAATTATCCTGCTACAAATTCATGTTTTTCACGGTCGCAGATGGAACTGATAACTATAGCCACCAACACTAAAATATTTATTTATTGTGTTCACAATTAAAAAATACTGATATAAACAAATACATGGTAAATAATTGAATACATCCATTAAAAAAAATAAAGGTGATGGTTTGCTAGAGAATAAATAAAATAAACAATTGGTTTCCAGGTTCTTATAATTATTATTCAGATCTATATATCTTTTAGGTCTTGTGAGGGCGTTTCTAAATTTAATTTGTGTATTCTTTAACAGTCATTTTGTGTCTTCTTAATTTCCATAATTTCTAACATATTTCCTTTATTTATAGTACATAAAAGTTTAACATATTTTTAAAGAAATGATTATGGGCCATACAATATTCTGCAAAACCTATTTTTCATATTTTTCAGAGTATAACCTCCGCATAACTTCTGTTTAAGGCTTTGGGGGTTCCCCAATTTATGTGGTGAGTGCTATGTTATTTTTTTTAATACTGCCGAATTTGTTATGCATTAAATTCATGACATTATTTTAGTCAATTATAGTGATAAAAATTTTGAACGAACGACCAGTTAGACCCACATAAAATGTATTACAATCGGGGCATGTCAATTTATAAAATCCTGGTTTCTTCAATTAGCTAGTTTTCTCTTTAACATTACACGAATGTCTGAAGAACTTTACACTTTGCCAAAATAAAGTCTCAGACAACAACAAAAAAATCATGGTCATCTATGATAAATTATCTTCAAAATGAAGACCATAAATCCTTTTATAGAAAACTTTTAAATCTCAATTTAGATACATATAATACAGATCCAACTAGTAATTAAATACAGTTTTACTTATTAGCACATTAACCTTTGATATCTAAAACTAAAATGGCACTTACGCCGTTTTCGATTACATTTTCTTTTTTTTTTTTTTTTGGTTTTTCTCCTCATTTTATTATTTATTACAAATTATTTACGTTTTTAATGTTTTCCATTGTGTTGCAAATGTTAGGCATACATTACAAAATAGAAATAAATAAAATGTTAATATTAAACATTGTTCTCTAATAATTCAAAATTAACGAATGACACTTAGTGCGTTTGATACTTCCACGCTTCAGTTTATTATTATATGGTTTACCCTAAATATAGTAACGTATAACTATAAAATATTATTGTAATACAAATTTTGATTGTTCTGTTTTCAGTTAGATGTAAATGTGATTCAGGGTCAATATCGGTTGTGATATTTTACCCAAAACGATATCTCTACTGAGTAAATTAAAAATTTAGTTTCCCTGTGACCGAAAATAAAAAATGGTTACTTTATCATCGCTACCACATTCACATCAATCATTCACCACCAATATCAATTTCCCGTTGCCAGATTTCAGCTGTACGCTGAAGCTAATTATTATTATAACAGTTTCACTTGCTGTGCAAATCATAACTATATTATAGTAATTGAAAAACATATTTACGGTAAAGCAGTGGCGTAACTATCGGGGTGATCGAAAAAATTGGTATAATTAGACTAGTTGTTTAAATGAATGGATCGGGTTGAATATTTAACTTTTGGATTGAGAAATTTTTCAATTGATTTTCCGTTTTAAGAGATATAATTAACAAAAAAAAAACATTGAACTTTTATACAACGCACAGAGGGTAAGAAAATTCGAAAAGCGGTCAAAAATCGTATTTATAAAACTAAATAACATCGTTAACAGAATTTGCAGGTACTTAGAAAAATAGATAATGCAGGTAGAAGGTCTTTTCGTTCAGGTACCTGCTCCTAAACACAGACTTTCTTGTAGCATCCGTACAGATACAAGCGTTCGTTCATTATATTGCCAACACTCAACCAGTGATTGTATGTTATAAAGTATTTGAATCAAAAGTTTAATTGCACAGAAAACTTCCTTAAATGAATCTATACATATAGATAAAATAAGTATGAAGTCGATTTTATTGAAAATTTTTGTTATAATTTAAATTTATACATACAAATTTTCAGGCCAGATCCGGCTTGAACTAAATAACTAAAAGATAGCTTGATTGTCCCTAATAACATACTAAAATTTGATAGGCGCGTTCAAGTGCAATTTTAAGATATTTCCATTTCGCTTAGGTCTTGGTTAAAAATATGCACCAACCGTAATGAACGCAGCATTCTGAAACCATATTTTATTTTATAATTTAAGATATAAAATCTACTGATTTCTATTCCATTTTTGCGATATTTTATTTGACTTGACAGAAAATCAAGTTAACCTATAACTAATGCCGGTTCTGATCTTTACTCTAGTTTTGTCTTCAGAGTTACTTTTATTCTCTTCTGTAGTGGTACCAATTTTTTTTGGAGTGAAAATGGTGATCAGCAAGCAACTTTTTGACGTCTTATATGAAAAAGATGGTTTAGGTCGTTCAAATCGAACAGAGTATCTATTCAATTATCTGGTGGGTCACTATAAAATTGAGAGTGATGAAGACGTCATGTTAAAATTGAACAATATCAGTTCAAAGTTTTGCAGTCTGTTTATTCGAAGCTTGATCAATGCGCAAAAAAAACGAATAGATTTTTGGAGAAAAATAAGGATTGGTTAAGTGTTCAATTTGTATTTGAACAAACCGAAAGAAGAAACTGATCCAGATACTGAGCCACAACCAGGAACCTCATTTGAAGGTGAAAGGAGTCGTGCCCGTGGTCGTCCAGCTTTAGATTTTTTCTGCGAGCAGTGAAAGAACCAAACGTCGAAAGACTGCAACACTGTCATCGGCGTCGAAGCTAGGAGCTAGCTTCGACTGTAAGCAAAAAAACTTAAGAATGAAGGAAAAGGGGCTGCCGCAAAACTTGTCTCAGAAGCAATTTTGACCACTACGACTCGAGCCAGTAAAATGAGGAAAGCTTGGCAAAGGAGACAGAAGTCATAAGAAATAATTCCACTTACCCCAGACGGAGCTCTGTCAGTAATGATTGACGAGAAA